AAATGGCTAGGACAAGATTAATTATAACAATTACAACATACCAAAGAAAATATAACTCAAGAATGAAAGAAATATGACATAATAAGATGGGAATAAAAGAAAGTAAAACTAAAATAAGAAACTCAGAATTCCACATATTGTAGTTTAGAAACCAATATACAAGATATGAACTTGTCCAGAGTTAAGCGAAACCATTGCTAGATTGGTAAGTGGAATAAAGATTGCACTTATTGCTAGGTTGGGAGGTTATGTGCATGAACAGGAATCATTTACCTAGACTCCTGAGTTTATGCTGGTCACGATTGTTGGTCATTTTTATTGTTGGTGATATGGTATATGGGGTGTTGCTCGTACTACAAAGTGGGATGGCATTGCTGGTATGATTGATTTGCCAAAAATTGTTGTGGCTGTTGCTGATAACAATCAAATTAATATTGCGTAGCATGCCTTTTACCTTTGCGCCTTTTGATGTCATCCTACATGAGAATTTTCCATCCAATCTTGTATTGAACTTGTCTTGAGCTATTCTTGCTTTTAAAGGAACAAATCTTGACTTTATAATCGATATATAACAATTGAAATATTTATTGGCATTCAGATTATAGGAATTGCTCTTGATTGATTTAGATAATTTTTTTTTAGTACTTTTTTTTTTTGCTTGAGTGTATTCTTCTAATTGTTTTTTAGTTTTTTTCTCTTCAGAAGCACTGATTTTTATCTCTATATTTATAACTTAATCCATTGACTCTCTAAAGTTGGTGCATTTATATTTTTTGATTCCCTTATTTAGGGTTTATTTGGTGAGGTTGCAGGTTTTTAATAAATATGATTGAAGGTTGTTATGAGGAAAACAACCTTAATAAAAGCTGCTATAGGTATCATAAAAAATTCTTTTTGAAAAAAGCTTGGGACAATAGTATTCTTGCAACTCTAACGCAATAGGAGATACGGTTGTATAAAGTATTTTTTTATTACATAACTTTTTAGAAAGTAGCAAGAAAAAGAGAAGTATGATGGCAGTTGTAAAAACAAAGCATTGAGAAAGCTGCCCTAAACATGCCTATAATCCATTAGGAAAAATTATAAATTTTGTCATCTTCATGTTTTTTTAACGGGGGAAATTTGATTTTTTGAGTAAAATCAATTTCATACTCTTGGACAACCTTTAATCCTCTCTTGAATTTCTTTAAATCATGCACCACCTTTGCACAGTTTGCTGTTGAGAGTACTGCTCAAAGTAAAACCTCTCAACTCTACTTAACGAATCATTGCATTGAATCCAATGCTATTACGTCAGTTGCATTTCCCACCAATTATATACACCTTCAAGAAGTTGCAATCGCCATATCAATTTTATGATCTTCGGTACACCTAAACCCTTAAAGCTTTTCTTAATGTGATTAATCCAAGCATCATATTTTATTAGTCTTATTACTTCTATGAAAATAGAGGTACTTGTATTCAAATAATCACAACACTTCTTCAATCTTTACTTCATTAATATTAATGAACTGTGCAACTCCAATTGCTTTGTTAAAATGAGTAGTTATATCCACTTGAATCACCTAAGCTGTCGGTGGTATCAGAGTTAATTCAAACAACAACGGAATATTAATATTATTGCGGAAATTAAAATAGGAAATCATAAATAATCAACTGAAATAAAAAATAATAACAAGGACACAACAATCCCAACAAGAGCGGCATCACGACGCTGGTTAGAGGGTGGTTTTAGGTTGGCTGTATGAAGTGGAGTACTGGGAGAATAACAGGGTAGATGGTTAGTTTGTCAAGGGTTAAAGGGTGAAGCGAGTGGCTGTGAATACGGGCCAAGGAGGATCATGCTTGTGGTGGGGAAGTGGTGGCTGGACAGGGCAGTGGAATGTTGGCTGATTGTTAGATGCAGATATGGGGTGGGGAGGTTGTCGACAGGACAATATGGGAGCCTTGGAAGCAAGCCGGTCTGGAGCAGGCAACAAGGTTGGTGGCCAGGAGAAGAACTAGGGAGGAAGATTGCTAGGATGAAAAGGAAGATACACACAATCGGAGGATGAGTTACAATTGAAGCACCTTCCTGCCACCGGATACAACCTTTAGAGTGAATAGGAGAAACTGAAGCTCTCAGTAGACAGAAAATGGAAAATCGGGAGGGCCAGTCGAACTCCCTAAGAAGACAAACTTCGATACATAAATAGCGAAGGAAGGCGACATTTTCCCAAATCGGGAGGGCCAATCAAATCCCCTCACTAAACCGGTTCATTGCTTATCACACGACCTCTGATCGGTTCAACGTAAAAACATACTTGTCAGTGCCCTGAGTTTGGGTGAGTTTCGACCTCATCCGTCGAAGCTTCTATTTACTCGTGATATGGAGTCAATTTTGCCATGTTGAAGGTAGCATACATGTTCTAGTCCCCTTACAAATCGATCTTGCAGGAATTCTCATTTAGCTTCTTGAGGACTCAAAACCGTTCATTTGCTCTAGGCTTAAGTTTCCCGAGTGATCCCATGGGAAACCTTTCTTTCCTCAGTCTGACCCACACTAGATCTCTCTCTCAGGAAAATTCACCTTCCTGGTCTTGTTAGCTTGCGCCTAGTACTGTGATTCTGTTTGGTGATTTCTTTCCCAATTTCCTTGCGTCGACATTCATACTAACCTCCGAAGTAGGAAGAATTGGTATTAACTCAACTGTATTGAGTGGTGGATTGTGCTCATACACATTCTGAAAGGTTTGGCCCATTATCTGATTCACGGACCTGTTGTACGCAAACTTGGCTTCGGCTTAAGTTAAGTCCCACTGCTTAATGTTCTTTGCTATGAATCACCTAAAGTGGTTCCCAAACTCCTGTTCACCACTTTCTAGTGACCATCAGCCTGCGGGTCAGCAACCAGCTGAACTGAAGTTTTGTGCGAAGCTTTCCCCGTAGGGTTCTCTTGAAGTGACTCGGAAACATGATGTCCCTATCAGATATGATGGTTCTTGGGATCCCATGTAGCCTTACGATCTGTCTTGAGTACAAATCAATGACATGAGCTACGTCTAATATTGAGTGCTACGTCACGAAATGAGTTATGTTCTATAATCAGTCAACCACGACCATCATCGGGTCCTTGTTTCGCTACATCCTTAGAAGTCTCACCATGAAATCTATGCTAACATCTACGCAAGGGTCTTTTGGTATCGATAATGGCATGTATAGCCCTGTGTTTTGTCCTAGGATCTTCAATCCCGGATACTCCGGTTTATCTTTTGTTTTTTTTTAATTTAACAAAATTGATATTAACCCTCCTCCCTTATATTACTAAAGTCATAGATGATCATGGTGCTCAACAATTTCATGATTTTAGTGCAACATTATCTCAAATCTTATTTACTTGACTTGGGGTATAATTAGAATAAATATATCATTACTTAAGTTTTAGCAATTGAATATTGAAGTGTTTTACCGGACGCCAACATTAGAATGTTAAATTTGAAACTCCCCATTACTCACATCACTCCATAGGTTCTTATTAAATTTATCGACATAATGAAGTTCTTGCTCCGCTTCATCATTAGTTGTATTTATAATCTCTCATTTCACATGTTCGATTTCAGACATTTTCATATTTTCTAATGATAAGAAATATTATTTAAATTTTAAAATAATGATTATGTTGTTTATTAGAACTTCAACTATATAGATTTTTATGAATGCATTTTTTGTTTATTTCTTGTTAACTAGTGTGTAAGGCATGAGGGCTCATTGGTGCAGAGTATTTTGGTATTATTTTTTAGCTTTTATTAAAATAATTGCGTACTGTTTCAAAATACTAAGGCAAGGGTTGCCTCAACTTGAGGCAGCAAGGCATGTTTTATAAAAAACTTTGAGGCGTGCCTCTTATTAACAAAGCTAATTAAAGTGGCACTATTATATTTCACTTTGCTTCAAGGCAGGCGGTTCAAATGAATTTTTCTTCTGTGTGGACCTTTTACACTGTTGTACGACTCCTTTAGACCAACGCTATAAGTATTTGATCTTTTATTTATTTATTTTTACTCTGGCAATTTTAAGCAATTATCCCTATTAAACTCAGAATCATTATCTTACTATTATATTGTGCTTTGAATAAAAAATTGTTTAACTTACCTATCAAAAGTATTGGGTAACAATAATTTGGGTATCCAAAGGAAAAGGAGTAAACAAAATTCTGCAAAGAATAAGGGGGTAATTTGATTATAATTGCGTTGAAAGCAAAAGAAACAGTTAAAAAATTGAAAGAGCCGTAAACTTTGCTGCAGTTTAAGGGATTTTGCTGCAGAAACAGTTAAAAAATTGAAAGAGCCGTAAACTTTTCCTACATTAACTGTTCCGCCCAAGTTAAAACGTGAAGAGATAAAGGACAGAGAATGTGACTAACACTTTAATGTCTCTGCCCAAGTCAACACC